ATCATTACACGATTTTCCCCTATCTATTACAAATTTCTCAGATACAGATAACCCCTAATAACTTAAAACTCGAAGTATATCAATCTTAAACGTGTCACTTTGTTATAGCCTAGCATCTGGAGATAATAAGTATCATGGTTTTGTAATTAGAATGTTGCTTTTCGAAAAAATCCTTACGTTTTTATCGGTAAAATAAAGCATCTAGAGTATGTAACACAATGGGTTTTGTCTCCATTCCGGGCCTTAACCTATGTCCTTAAAAACTACAATTGTAACCCATTGTCAGTAATATTTAAAACCAAGCATCTCAGACTAATTTACTATTCCCGACTCAAATAACAAATACCACATCAGGTAACTGTAGGTGGTATTCTTAATAAAGAAAGTGCGCCTTATGTGATAAAAAACATATATTTTTCTTGTACTAGACATCAGTTAAATTTGACCAACACATAAACGGTAGCACTTTTTTCTGTAAGAAATGACAACTAAACTCATATGAAAGCATCAATGAACTAACATAGGTTTACTGTAAAGACTAGCATGGAGTATGGTTCAATATATAAGGCTAAGTTACATAAAACGTAAAGGAATAAAAACGAACTCGTCAAAGACAGATTAACTCTAAAATGACTATACTGCAGATGTAGCCAATCGGTTGTTTCTTCTATCATATGTCCAAATATGTCCTAAGCTTATTAACTAAGCTCTTAGTCAATGTGAGTCACGTATTTTTTTCTCTAGCAAAACAGTTTGTTGTCACAGATCATCACTAAGACCAAGGACCTTGCTGGGAGTGTTTTCACTCCATCCTTCTTTCTCGTTAACAGCACATTGTTTCCGGATGTCCTCCCAGCCTAATATCGATATTTCTATAACTGTTGGTTGTGAGTTTTGTTATTTTTGTTTTGGTTTACGTCATAACAAAACACTGTTCCCTTCATTGACATTTCTTTCTTACATCTGACATTTTCCGTCAGCGTAATCTGTGTGCTTGCCTTGGTTTCTACGTCAGGTTCGAGTACCCCGAGTTCTACATCACAGTCACTTAGCTATGGAATCTTTATTTCGATTCAAGTTGTGCTACATGTATGTGGTGACGCCCTGTACATAACTAAGTGGTCGGAACGTTCTCGGTACAATCTTTCGTCTCTTTTGCACAATCTTCAGACGTTTTAGTTAAGTACACGTTGTAACGTTCTTCATTTTGCAAGTCAAAGAGGACTGAAACTCATGTATTAAACGATATTTTCTTTCATTTTCGTGTTTATAAGATAGAGCTGTTCAGGGTATGAAAGGGGTGTGGGAATTTCTTTCTTGCATACTAGACCGAGATATCCGCATTTCCGGCGGTGCTGGAAAATTCTATCCGACCCACGGGTCCAGATGTATTACACGCACAGACTGGCGGGGGAATTAAAGTGACCTTTTGGGGTCACGATATTGTTCCTGACGTCATTTTATGAGGTTTTGGGGTCAGTCATGGTCATTGACGTCATTAACAATTGTCATCCGTGCTGCATATACAACTTTACTAGAAGAGCAGCTGTTTTTACGGGTTTTAGGTAATAAGCAAGAAATAGAATCCATCCCTGATGTGAGGTAAGGATAAGATAATTCAAACCCTCGGGATTAAATATTGATCAAAGACCAAAGCCTCGGGTCTCCTGCTCAATATTTTATCCCTTGGGTTTGAATTACCTTATCCATACATTTACCTTACATAAGGGATGGATTCTATTACTCATACACCCCATTTCACGTGACGTGACGTCACAATTGCTTAACAATGACGTGACGTCACGAATTTGGAACTATCCGATGCCGAAATGTGGAAAAGGTGATGTAATGAAATTAAAACCTTTTGCGATATATTTACCGTACACGTTAGAAAGATGTTATTATTTTTTCTACGCCCACATTGTTTGCAAATATGGGATATGCTTAATCTGGCTCGCTGATTCGTTTTCGTCTAAAAAGCTCAGTGAGAAAATTTATATTTTCAAATTGGTGGCCAGTCCAAACGCATTTTCATGGTTTCTGGGCTTATTCTGGTGGTTGGAATGAGACAAAAATATTTTTTCATGCCAAAGGGTGTAGTTCCAAATTTTGCAAATCCCTCAGCAAAGCCTCGGTTTTTACCAAATTTGAAAACCACTCGGGTGGTATTTCCCTTATCCTACACCACTGAACATGAAAGAATCTTGAATCTTATATTATCTCATTTCCCTGTGTGTACATTTTGTAAGATAGAGCTGTCCAGGGTAAGAAAAGGGTGTAGGAAATGTCTATCTTACACCCCAATTCACGTGACGTGACGTCACAATGGCTTAACAATTATGTGACGTCACGGATCTCAATGCAGAAAAGGCGACGTGATGAAATTAAGACATTTTCCGATATATTACCCGTACATATAGGAAAGATGAGATTAATTTGTCAACGCAAATTTTGCAAATATACGGTACGCTTAGTAAGGCTGTATGATGCGTTTGTATTTAAAAGGCTGCGGGGGGGATAAATAATTTCAAAATAGTAGCCAGTTCAAACGCATTTTTATGCTTTCTGAGCATATTCTAGAAGCTGGAATGAAAGAAAAATGCTCTTTCATGTCCAAGGTTGTAGGATAGTGAAAATCAACCATCGGGATTTTCAAATTCAGCAAAACCCCCATGAAAGCCTCGCGTAGGCTATCTCTGACCTGACCTCTTACATGTACCCGTAAGTTATCAATGGACTGACTTCTAACCTGTGCTCGTGAGTTATCTCTGAACTGACCTTTTACATGTACTCCTGAAATATCTATAAACTGACCTCTTACCTGTATTCGTGAGTTATCTCTGAACTGACCTTTTACATGTACTCCTGAAATATCTATAAACTAACCTCTTACCTGTACTCGTGAGTTATCTCTGAACTGACCTCTTACCTGTACTCGTGGGTTATCTCTGTACTGACCTCTTACCTGTACTCGTGAGTTATCTCTGAACTGACCTTTTACATGTACTCCTGAAATATCTATAAACTGACCTCTTACCTGTGCTCGTGAGTTATCTCTGAACTGACCTCTTACCTGTACTCGTGGGCTATCTCTGTACTGACCTCTTACCTGTACTCGTGAGTTATCTTTGATCTGACCACTTTCCTGTACTCCTGAAAAATCTATAAACAGACCTCTTACCTGTACTCCAGAAATATCTATATACTGATCTCTTACCTGTACTCGTGAGTTATCTCTTACCTGATCTCTTATCTGTACTCGTGATTTATCTCTGAACTCACCTTTTACCTGTACTCGTGAGTTATCTTTGCTCTGACCACTTTCCTGCACTCCTGAAATAACATGTACTCCTGAAATATCTATAAACTGACCGTTATCTCTGAACTGACCTCTTACATGTGCTCGTGAGTTATCTCTGAACTGACCTCTTACCTGTACTCGTGAGTTATCTTTGCTCTGACCACTTTCCTGCACTCCTGAAATATCTATAAAATGACCTCTTACCTGTACTCGTGAGTTATCTCTGAACTGACCTTTTACATGTACTCCTGAAATATCTATAAACTGACCTCTTACCTGTGCTCGTGAGTTATCTCTGAACTTACCTATTATCTGTACTCGTGGGCTATCTGTACTGACCTCTTACCTGTACTCGTGAGTTATCTTTGATCTGACCACTTTCCTGTACTCCTGAAAAATCTATAAACTGACCTCTTACCTGTACTCCTGAAATATCCATATACTGATCTCTTACCTGTACTCGTGAGTTATCTCTTACCTGATCTCTTACCTGTACTCGTGATTTATCTCTGAACTGACCTTTTACCTGTACTCGTGAGTTATCTCTGCACTGACCTCTTACCTGTACTCGTGAGTTATCTCTGAACTGACCTCTTACCTGTACTTGTGAAACATCTCTGAACTGATATCCTACTTGAAAGAAATATCTTAAACTGCAGTATTCCTATCGCTGACGTAGTCTCGTGACAAACTTGATGATCTTTTCAGATAGTTGTTTTGACATGGTCCGGAAAAAGAAATGGAGCATCAGTCCGTTTCCTTGAACTAAAGTACAGTGTTATTACTATTTCAAAACATTAATGCTTAAAACCTGTTCTCCGTTTCCGATATCTTAGGAGGCATGGTAGTCTTGTGGTTGGACGCCGGGCTTGTGACCGAAGGGTTGCGGGTTCGAGTCGCGAAATGGCACTGTGTTGAATCTTTGAGCAAGATACACTGTACTTTACTCCGCTTGTTCCACTCTACTCAGCTGTAAATGAGTACGTGGTTGGGCAGTGCTAGAATTGTTGAATTTTAGCTGTGATTGCCGAAATGGCAGCACCGGCTGTATGCTCCCCAGGGAGTTGAAGATATTGGCTGGTTGCAAAAGTCCCATAACCACGGATAATAATGTTTGAACCGCTATGAGAAAACCTACGAACAAGGTTATGATAAAGCGGTAGATAAGAACCTCGAATGATTATCATTTTTAATTATTTTATATTATTTTGTCATCATGCACATCGATAAAATTCCTTTCAAATAAATTGTTTAGCGCTACTGTTTGTGCCCAATCCTGGCAACAGGACCTCCAGTTGCAAGCGGTAGTTGTTTTGGTAGTGGAACTGGTTCCGGTAACGGTAGTGGTTCTGGAAGCGGAAGTAGTTCTGGTAGCGATAGTGACTCTCTGGTAGTGGTCGTAGTTCTGGTAGTGGAAGTGGTTCTGGTAGTGGAAGTGGTTCTGGCAACGGTAGTGGTTCTGGCAGAGGTAGTGGTTCTGTTAGTGGTTCTGGAAGCGGTAGTGGTTCTATTAGGGGTTATGGCAGCGGTAGTGGGTCCGGTAGCAGTAGTGGTTCTTGTAGTGGTAGTGGTTCTGGTAGTGGTAGTGGTTCTGCTAGCGGTAGTGTTTCTGGTATCGTTAGTGGTTTTGGTAAGCGGTAGTGGTTCTGGTAGTGGTAGTGGTTCTGGGAGCGGTAGTGGTTCTGATAGCGGTAGAGGTTCAGGTAGCGGTAGTGGTTCTGGTTGTGGTAATGGTTCGGGTAGCTCTAGCGGTTCTCGTAGTGGTAGTAGTTTTGGTAGCGGTAGTGGTTGTGGTTGCGGTAGTGGTTCTATTAGGGGTTATGGCAGCGGTAGTGGGTCCGGTAGCAGTAGTGGTTCTTGTAGTGGTAGTGGTTCTGGTAGTGGTAGTTGTTCTGCTAGCGGTAGTGTTTCTGGTATCGTTAGTGGTTTTGGTAAGCGGTAGTGGTTCTGGTAGTGGTAGTGGTTCTGGGAGCGGTAGTGGTTCTGATAGCGGTAGAGGTTCAGGTAGCGGTAGTGGTTCTGGTTGTGGTATTGGTTCGGGTAGCTCTAGCGGTTCTCGTAGTGGTAGTAGTTTTGGTAGCGGTAGTGGTTCTGGTTGCGGTAGTGGTTCTGTTAGTGGAAAAGGTTCTTGTAGCGGTAGTGGTTCTGGTAACGGGAGAGGGTCTGGTAGTGGTTGTGGTTCGGATAGCGGTAGTGGTTCTGGTAGTGGTTGTGGTTCGGGTAGCGGTAGTGGTTCAAGTAGCGGTAGTGGTTCTGGAAGCGTAAGTTTTTCTGGTACTGGAAGAGGTTCTGGAAGCGTTAGTGGTTCCGGTAGTGGTAGTAGTTCAAGTAGCGGTAGTGGTTCTGGCAGAGGTAGTGGTTCTGGCAGCGGAAGTGTTTCTGGAAGCGTTAGTTGTTCCGATAGTGGTTCCGGTAGTGGTAGTGGTTCTGGTATTGATTCTGGTAGTGGTATAGGTTCTGGTAGCGGTTGTGGTTCTTGTAGCGGTAGTGGTTCTGGTAGCGGTAGTGGTTCAGGTAGCGGAAGTGGTTCAGGAAGCGTAAGTTTTTCTTTTAGTGGAAGAGGTTCTGGAAGCGTTAGTGGTTCCGGTAGTGGTAGTAGTTCAAGTAGCGGTAGTGGTTCTGGTAGCGGTAGTTGTCCAAGTAGCGGTAGTTGTCCAGGTAGCGGTAGTGGTTCTGGCAGCGTTAGTGGTTCTGTAAGCGGAAGTGGTTTTGGTAGCGGTAGTGGTTCCGGTGGTGGTAGTGGTTCTGGTAGCGGTAGTTGTCCAGGTAGCGGTAGTGGTTCTGGTAGAGGTAGTAGTTTTGGTACTGGTAGTGGTTCTGGTAGCGGTATGTTTTGTATAATTTATCAATGAATTTTTCCCGTTCATTTACATCGTTGATATACGAATTTAATTAAGGTTCGTGTAAAGTCTGTTTTCAACTAAGTTACAAAAGGTCATATTTTATTGAATTTTACCTCGATAGTCCTTATTTTGGTATCACTTCGATCCTTAGGATATGAGTATCAGTATGTATTAGCTTTCAGTTAAGTTCAGTTCGTTAATATTGTTTTAATTGCATTAATTATACGTTATACAGGAAATGACATATCTACACACAACAGAGTCGATTTGCAAGGAAATATCAGTCAAAATCTTCCTTAGAACTCATTTTAGGTAGTGGGATTGTTGAAAGGTAACAAAACTGCTCCAAAAGACTGATTATCACAACTTCGAGGTCAAGTCATTAGTTAATTTCACCATAAAAAACAAGCCATATTGGAACTACTTTTCTAAAACTATGGAGGCCCATGTAGTGTAATACCAAACATCATATTTTTCTAAAACCACCTTTTTAACCGAAAAATAATGCATGATATGTATGTTATGGTTTGTTAAAAAAAAGAGTCATTAACAAATATAAGATCCCAGTAGTTGATTTATATTGATAATTACATTAATTAGCATATTACATACACATACAAGACTTTTGAATCATGGTATTAAACAATATTTACATTTGCATGGCATTATCACTATATAATCTCTTTGAAAGCTGTGTCGTTGATGAGAATTTAATTACCATGTATCACGAGACACAATTCTTAGCGTATTAATACAACACTAACCGGAACTACAATATCCAATATAAATAAACATGACGGCTGCTGAAATATCGCTGGGCATTGTCAGATTTGACAATGTCATTGTAAATTAATGTGCAAAATCAAAAATAGAATAAAAAAACAATTTTATTACAACGAAAACAAGACCAGGGTCTGCAATATCGGACAAAATGCACATCGGTTGAAATCACCAATGCCGGCAATGGAAACGATTTTAACGCTCATGCAATTTATCAGAAATATCGTCTGTTACACTGCACTGATCAACAGGGGTTCGTTACAAATGTCTGAAATACATATATTCTATAGACTTACTGATACATATGTTACAGACCTACTGATATGAGTCACAGCACACATAAACACATCAGACATTTGTAACGAACCTGTGCTTCGTCGCAAGATCACTCCCTTCAAACGCTATCAGTTTCACGCGTCTCGCGTCCACCATTCCTCAGTTTCTGACGACATGTCAAATAACGAGGATGTTGTAGAATCTACCGACTGTTGTCAGGTTCCCATACAATCAACAAATACATTCACGCCTGGATTCTTCACAAAATGAGCAAAGAGAAAAGTTCAAATTAACTTCCAAAAATAACTCCCTCGTGGAGGTCAAGGTCGGATTTACGGTGTTCACTGTATTTGTCCATGCACGAAATTTATTACGGGGGAAAATCGAAACAATTTCAAATCTAACTTTCAGCTCAGAGTTCTATTGATAAACTTAAATCACCCTTTAGACATATCATACGCAATTGTATTGATACTGAATTGTGGAATAAAATTGAAGTATTTTTTAATATTTCAAAGTTGATCGAAATTGTGTGGACTGTCGATAAGGCGGGCATTTTTAATTTTGAACATAAACTATAAGTTAAAATAGAACAAAAGACCCAGAGAAAACGTAAGTATAAGTATTGGACTGTTTTTGTATGGTATTTATGATCTATTTGAATGACACAGCTTTGCAATTAAACAAATCATAACGCGCTAGCGCGCATTATGTTGTTTGCTTGCAAAGCTGTGTCATTCAAATAGATCATAAATACCATACAAAAACAGTTCAATGCTTAAGTAAACCTAGTTTCACCTTATTACATGTCAACGGAATAGTAGGGTGGCGATAATGTGGCATATTTATAAGCTACAAGGTATATTTGTAATTTTTGAATAATAATAAATACCAATTCTTCAATGAAATTGACATAAATGCCATACATAAAATTTCAGGTTGATGTATTGTGCTATCAGTTTTGCGGTTGGATCATGTGTCAAATTTCAATTTGATTACCATTCATCATTATTGAAGCTGTTGGAATAATCGCATTTCTTCCAACGTAATCAAAACATTGGCATATTTACCAATAAAACAATATTCTAGTATAGTTTACTTTCGCGATGGACTATTCCGGTACGGTTTGAGTATTCCAGTACATCACACGCGAGTGTTCAAACTTTGGAATGTTGCTTGACATGCAGTTGCAGACGTGAAAAAAAACTTAAATGTTGTTTGCTTAGTGAGAAAGATAGCACGACAACATCACCATATCATAATTGTAGCTACCAATATTTACAAACACACAATGATTGGGTTACTGTCAGGCAACCAAGTAATCCTGCAAATAGTCAATACTGTAAACCTTGTTATCCCTTTCATAGATATTTCTATACACTGCATCATCAAATCCATCATTCCTATAAAACTGAGTACTGTACAGTTGTAGATTGCCACTTTATGTGTTTCAATGTCCTCTGGTGGAAAATGAGTCGTTAGACAAATTCCATTCAATGTTCTTCGTGTATTTCTGGAATAGACAATAACAAAGCTAGGTGTTAAAAGAAATATCTTGATATTTCGTAAATCTGGGTAGATAAATACATATAATGCAATGTATAACCTATAACGAAACATTTGGATGAGGCTTCAATTCGTCGAGATGGACTGTACGCGTTCAGTGCTACCATTGATACACCTCAATGCCCACACTACCACAGGCAAGATGACAGGACGCAATATAAACATGCATTGAGGTTGACGAGCATCTATTCCCAGTACATTACATGCAGATGTAAACATTTTGGAATGTGTGGGTCTTTAGACCTTCCTCCTCATATGGCCACGGCAATGCTGTTATTTGATATGTGCGTATATGGCTTCAATTAGTTGTGCTGCACACCTGTGTTATAAAATAAATAAAAAGTTATCATTAGTGTTGATTTATTGGTATTCAATGTCTATTAAAAATTCACATTCAGATTCTTTGCAGACTAATCTCTTTTGACATAGCATACTAATGGCGTCTTTTTGAGTGATGCTTCACTCAAATGCAATTCAGTAGACACTAATTTTACACATGTGCTTCTTCCATGCTTCCATACATTGTTTACTTTTTATTGACACTTCAATCAGTAATATAAATAATCGTATGCATTGACTAAAATGTGCTAAAAACTTATCAATTGGATTTGAAGAAAAAACATTTTGCCTTCATCTCGAATTTCCTGTTTGTGTCACTTGTCAAAATACAACACACACATCTCATCTTACGAGAACGTTGACTCAAGCAATACATTATCTATGTTTACTTTATGTAAATTACAACTGTATTCTATCTCACAAACCATACTTACAACAAATAAACATTGTCGATCTTCTGCATCTCAGCGTTTTCTCCTCAGCTTCATGTTGTTGACGTCTGATGCACATTGCCGAAAGTGACGCCGCACAAACAGTCCGATCTTGGATATAATGATTTCTTTTTCTGTAGTATTACTCCTACATTTTTGTAATTCAATTCGGCATCAAAGGCATTTTATTATTTAAGGAATTACACTCTTGTTTTGATAAATATGACAGGAAATATTGTCATTTTTGTAAAAAAAAATATTGCCATATTGCCATGTCGTCCGTTACGAAAATCAGTTGGTCTGAATATGGACAAAAGACCTGGTTACGACATGTGCTAGCTATTTATTGTTTATTCGATGTCAACACAGTCTATTTTGTGTCGTTTGGTGTTTTATGGACGCACCGATCGCTTGTGACGGAAATAATCACCATTTTTTGACAACTAAAAACTTAAAATGGCGGCCTCCATTGGACAACACGATGAGTTTTCGATTTAACCAAAATCCATGTATGGATGTTTAAACATAATTTACCTCATAGGAGTACCTCACTGTATATAATATCTTATTTTTGCCAAAGTTTCAATTATCAAACATGAAAAGGTTATCAGTTCTAATTTCCCCCAAAACTAGTGGCAAAATATTCACGAGTCACTCATTAATATTTCAAATAACACTATTTATTGAGTGCGTGGTAAAAGTTCAATCATGGCTATAGGGAGTTCAATTGTAATAATAAATGTAGTATTGACACATGAAATAAAGGAACCTGAAGGTCAATTATTAGTGTCTAAATGAACCTTAAGGTCTGTTCTATATACGTAACAGACTACTTTTAGTTCTCTTCCGGCGAAAATATTATTCAAATTACAAGAACTTCAAAGTAAAAAAAGGGAAACATTCCTTTTGATTTTCAAAAATCACTAGTTATATTGTTATCGTATATTATTAATCCATTATATATACAAATGGTTATGTTACATATGTAAATTGATCCATTTGTTTGATGTACTTACCACGAACCAGTTTTGCGCTATGTGATAGTCTGTTTACGTATGTACTGGTCACATAAGCACTGTGTTCACTACAAACTTTCCTAGCCAGCGAAGAACATCTTTTATCTGGTTTTAATATAGACTTTTAGGGACCAATGCATTTTAAGGTAAGTATTTTTTGTTCTGCTTATACTGAACATTTTGCATTATTTTGTAATCTATATAGATCTGCTTTTGACCTTAACGCATTATTTTATGTTTGGTCAGGTATGTTACGGCACAATCTCTCATCCGGGTGAAACATTGTGCAATACAAATGGGCATAGGTGACACGATTTCTCACCCGGCACGATTTCTCTCCCCAACTCTCTTTCTTAATTGGGATATTGTCTGATGTTTTTCATCCGGGGTGTTTGATCTTTTCGAATAAATTTTATTTTACAACTAAAAAAAACACTGTTTATCTTCTTTTAAAAATCAACTTTTCTCTTAGAAAACCTTCAATCTATATATCAGTTAATTAGGAAGAATTGTTTGCTATAGGATTAACAATAGCATCAAAAGTGAAGCGATAACTACTTACTGATTACACACGCATTCAGTAAGGTACGAAAAAGCACGATGAATTTTCACTTTACCTCGTTTTGTTAACGTCCTCTTGCACGTATGGCATTAACATCATACATTGTATCTAGGTGTATATCGATTCAATGTAGAACTATTGCACACAGTATTTCGACTAAGCGAAGTCTTAATGTGACTTGGGCATTGATACATTGTAGGCGACACCTTTAACTTTTTTTCTATTAAGAATTTGAACTTAACTACTTTGTTAGAAATAGGCATATTTTCAATTTGCCAGGAAAAGGAAATGAATCAAATAAAAATAAAAAAATAAATAAAGAGTGACTTGTTATAGCACATTCAAAAAGTAATTGTTCTCAAAATCAACAGCCAATTAATTTAATTGAAGTATAATAAAATGGACAATGGATAAACGCTTAGCTCTGAGAATGTCCTGCATGTACATATGTAGTATGTAGATTACTACGAATCCGAAATAAGCCTTGAAAATCTACTTATCAACTTGGAATCGGGAATATAAGCTATTATTTAGATAGGAAAACTGAATTGATTAAAATAAAGTCATTTTTTTTTCATTTTTTTTTAAATAAAAGTAGTGATAGTAAGAAACGGATCACCAAAATAAAGTCTTTCTTTCATTCATTTGATGGTGTACATATGCTGCTTGTTTCAATCACGTGTCTTTTTCCTGACGTCATCTCTCACTGTTAGAATAGAACGAGCTTCTTTAAACTTGCTGAAGTGTATATGCAAAAGATGAGCTAACATAATATTAGATGACGAGATGTCCAATGTACAGCATAACTGATATTGATTGATTGATTTATCTATCTTTTTTTCATTCATTCACTTTTGATATACGCAGCAGAAGTCTTCAAATATCTTATCATATTCAATAAGACTATGAAAAATATATTGTTGCTCGATTACTTGATATGTTAGTATCAATAACTCGTCTTTCCACGCACGCACCTTCTTAAACACATTCAAACGCAATCCAGTTCACCTAAATTGTGAGAGAATTAGCACTTCTTAAATAGCATCACCTGTTGTATTTTTTTATTGTTTATTTATTTTCGAATCAGAAGAAGTGATTTTGTTTGAATTCAACTGGAGATATTCGAAACATAGAAACATTTTTTTCACCACAGTTTGAGCGCGATATACCGTATATATAAATATTATGTAAGTCATATCTAACACAAGACATAGTAAATAATAATGGCAAGATTCCAATGACCAATGTAACTTAAGGAACAAAGAACACGAATTTTATACAACATTAGCTTAAGTGAAGCAGAAGTGAAATCAGTTGCTCTGGAAGGGTACATACATTTCATTTTTTATCATAAATTATAACGATATCTGGTTGTAACAGGGACCGTTACAAATGATGCTTCAAACAATACGCAATGCCAAAACACATCTGCATACCGAATCTGAACAAAATCGGTCAATATCTAAATGACAACCAATCAGGACCCGACCAAACACGGACATTTTGTAAAATAAAAATATCAACGAAAGCCACTGTTGTGTTTGTAGTGACATTGATCATTTTTTATACAGAATTTACGGGATATATAGGAGACTGCATAATTTTAGACTTTTCAAAACTTAGGTTGCAACAGCCATTTTGCGGTAGATATTTACTTTGTTTTTGTCATCTTCAAGAACACCTTCAAAAAATTAATTATCCCAACAAATGGGATTTGGATCTGTTCGGAAAATTTAATATCAAATTTCATTAGTGTCTGCGTTAATTGCACTAAATTTATATACATCGCAAAAATCGTGATATCAGGTAATATGCCTTCCCCTAACACAATTTCTCAGCCGGGTAGGAAATCGTGTCGGGGTTAGAAATCGTGTTGCGAACGCAGCAATTTTGGACGATTTCTCACCCGGGTCGGGGTTATAAATCGTGCCGTAACACAGGTATGGCTTCTGACAGGTGTCTTACATCTGTTTCGATATGACTTCTAACAGGTGTTTTGTGTCTACTAAGGTATGACTTCTAACAGGTGTTTTGTGTCTACTTAGTTATGGCTTCTAACAGGTGTTTTGTGTCTACTAAGGTATGACTTCTA